TATTAAAGATGTATGTCGGTATATCCCTTTAGGTATATCCGTGTGTGTATTTTTCCATTTTTTTGTTTTTTTCGCTGGACCTATGCCGATCACGTAGCCATCGAAGGCAGTCAATTTAGATTAGATTATTAAATAGATATTAGTAACTTTCATTTTTTCTATTATCTAATAACCATAACAACCACGACTATAACTCTAAAAGACTCTAGCTTGTAAGAAAAGAAGAATTAAGAAATGAAATGATATTTGTTTAGGTGTAGTATGTAATTTGTCAATAAACCAATACTATGCCAACTAACATATATCATGGTAGAAATTATTAAAATTCATCGTGATATTTTTGAGGCTTGAAACCTGCACTTTGTTATGCTAAAATTTAATTTACTATAAAACTGCATACTCAAATTTATTTTTGAAATTCCGGTTAAAAACTTTGAAAGTTTAAAGACAATTTTTAGAATTATTTTAAATTGTGTATGAGGTTGGAAAATTCAATTGATATGAAATTAGTTATATGAGGGACAATATTCTTATAACTAACCAAAAAGTTTAAATTTGCCCAATTTGGTTTCAGACAGTATTTTGTACTCGGTCGTAACTGATTGACCTCCTACTGTATTAAGGCATCATTTACATTAAGTGATTTTTTAGCGAGTCGACAGGCCACTAATCACCTCTAAATAATAAATAAATAAAATATTCAAATTTGTTAAAGAGTTAAAAAAAGTTAGATAAAATAAAATATATTAAATATAATTCGCCGCTGTTTTGGAAACTGCCTCGGCTATCGACTTAGTTACCTCAAGCTCTTCCCTCTTTATTTCTTCAATGCGTCTGAAATAATCTGCCTGTTGGGCGCTCATTTTCCCCAAGGTTTCAACCACTTTTTTAAGAGCCTCTATTTGAGCTGCACATAGACCTTGTAAGTCAGTTGGTACGCTCTTTTGTGGCACTGATTTCGAACGAGGACTGCTTTCCCTGCTCCTTCCTCGTCAATGTCAACAATAAGAGGTTCTGCCCTAGTTTGGCAATGTTCTGCCTGAATGTCTGTGGGCTCACGTTTTAAGATCTCGGAAAATGGGTCCGATGGGCTGGTTTCTGCAACCGGAACTCCAAAAGTCGATGCGCCTACACCGTCCACCATTTCGAAGAGCCCACAAATGGTGGCAATGGTCTCCTCTATAGGAAGGACGGCAAGCTGGGCGTATGAGCCGCCGCCGGTAGCTTTGGTTTCCTGCTTATTTTTCGCAAGTTTCCTCCTTATGGTTATTTTCCAATCCGACCAAACCTACGATTTACACGAATTTAACAACTGAAACAAATCTATAAATAATAGCTATACCTTTTTCCAGCCGTTAACGTCCTTGCAAGGAGGACCAATAGCATTTAAGTCAGTAGTAAGCTGCGACCACTTGGCCTCAGCAGCAGTTCGGTCACCTTTAACAAATCCTCTGGCCAACTCCTGATTACTTCTCATGAACTCCACCATCACCTCATCCTGTTTTTGAGTTTTATGTTTTTCCCTTAAGGGCAAATATATTAGTTTCATTTTCATACACACACATAAATTTGTTGTAATTTATTATACTTACATTTTGATTAGAAATATTTTTTCTTCCAAGAACTATACGGTGCAAGAACGCCTCTCAACAAATAATAATAATGGCGTCCTGGGAACAGATGATTGCTGGAGATAGAGTTGCCAATGTATCTACATGTTTCAATCTCGAAATACACATTCATATTTTAATTGTTTATTTGGGTTTTTGGGCTGTAAATCATTTATTTCTATTTAATTATTATTTATTACTACCTTAATGGATATGTAAAATGAAGGATAATTAATTCCAAAAGTGTTTCAAGACTTGCTTTTCGTTCCTTGATTTACTAAGGCATCCCTCAATTACATACCGATTATTTGGCGAAGTTAATCGATTTATCGATTGAATCAAATCGCAAACAGTTGTTGTTTCGGCAATTTTGCTGCAGAAAAATTTGAGGTGTGGTCCGTAAATATTAAATTAAAAAATAAATTAAATATAATATTTATTTTTAAGTACGGGAAATGTATCTTAAGAATTTCTTTTAATAAATAAAAATTGTCCAAGCTTTTATAAATCGGTTATTTAAGCGTGCGACGTCATTTACTTTTCATTCCACTAAGTCTAAAGTTTCCGATTTGAAACCGCGAAAATTTTGCGATATACGATTGTGAGAGCGCGCAATTATGCGATTTGAAAACTAAAACGCAAAGTTTTTGCGAGTTCGGAAACGGGAGCCCGGCTGATTATCAAGGTTATCTTTCTTCAATCTTGGCAAAATTTAACATTAAATTGTAAACCACTTAATTTAAAATTTTTATTTTAAGTTTCTGTAAAATTTTCCTTAGTAAGAAATATTTCGGCGTTTGTTCCACAAAAACTATCTAAAATGGGAATATGATTATTTAACTCTAAGATATATATTAAATGAGGTTCAATATTTGCTTTAGAGATGAAATTGCGGCAAATTTGTTGAAACAAAAATGTTAAGCGCATATGCGCATTGTGGATGCGAGCTTCTTCGGCTTGCATATCTACATACATTTATATAATTTACTAGTTTAAGCACATACAATAAAAAGTATAAAAATATATATATTTTTTTTTAATTGCGGATCGGAAAAAAATATATATTAGTTGCATTGGGTTACGCAAAAATAGTGCCGAAAATCAATCGATTGTGCTTAAGGCCGGCTGTGTCCGAAAGGACCGAAAATGGCACAATGCACACTCATTTTTCATCACTGCTAAAGACCTGTCCTAATCCAAATTATTCGATAAACCACTTTTTAATCCCATTTGACAATGTAAAAATCAGCCCTAACGCTAATACCCCCTCGTTAATAGATTTTTCAATGAGTCTTTCGAAAGACTGTGTTGAAAGACAGTTACCAGAATAGGCCTGTTAAACATATTGCCTGAATTTACGAAACTTTCGGCGTCTGGGGAATGTCTTTCCGTTATCCCGTTTTGAAAACTTTTAGCGGAGCACGTGTTTATGACTACATGAACTTTTCTAGAGGAGCCTTGCATTGTAGGTCAAAGTGGAAAAGTAACGCGCACACTAGTGTACATGCATACGTATAGGCATTGATAAGGGTTACAATTTTGAGAAATTCTTCTTTGTACTATGTACTGAATACTCCGATCTATGCTTTATTTTATGTTAAAAATGCATTCTCAACATTTTTTTTTTAGCGGATCTAACTATGAAAGATGAAATTTTATATCCTCTTTCTGTTTCTAACAATTTACTTACTATACACTTTTCATTTCTAGAAACTATGTAAAGCATCACATTAACGCTCGAAATCTGCTAAAATGGCTTGATTGTGATTTTATACATACATACTCATGTGCATATACATACATATGTACATACCCAATACGGCATAACTCAACCAATTAACTACCCTGCAGTGAAACGCTAAACTAGTCAGGAAAAATACTAGTTTGCAACTAGAATCTCCTGACAACCGAACTAGTTCGTAAATAACCAGACTTGTATCAAGTACAAAATGATTTATGTATTCATGCCCTGTTTTATTTAACTTCGACAGTTGAATACAATAGAGTACACAAAATATTATAACTTTTATTTTGGTATATTGTAAACCGTTAAAGCGAGTACGTACTCGTAATTATACCATACTTGTTAAATAATGATTAATATTCATAATGATTTTTAATTAAAGCATGTTTTTTTTAATGACCGTCTAA